ATATTTCAAAACGCACTCTATGTGGTTTATGAAAACGTTTTTCCACCTCCAGTGCAGCGTTTGTTGCTCATTTGCATGCATAAAGAGGAGGTGGGTGGCGATGGCATCGTGCAACAAGACACACACTTTCCATGACGTCCCAACAGGAAACAAGTTGATGTTCTCAGTTATTTAAGCATGGCATGTAAATGTCACAATGGTGCATCAGACAAGCTATAAGGTGGGGGCGTGGATGGGTGCAATACAAAGGGTTATAATTTTTATAGCATTGGCCGACGGTGACCAGCAAAGATTGTGTCATGTGCATGTTAATTGAATTACCTGCGTGAAGACACAATGTCATGACACAACCACCTTCCTTTATAATGACCCTTTATCTGCAGCCTGAGCGTACGTTATCCTATCAGATTCTACCACTACAAAGGGAAAAGACGCTACTCGACCATGCTCAGGGGAGCGGTGAGGGTAGGTCAAATACCTCTTTGAAGGCTATAGAGCTTGCATGTGCTTATCCGCACACCGTTGCTGACTGACTAAACAGTCCGACTGAGATTCTCTAAGTCGCTAATAGAAAGAGGTAATATTTTTCACAGGGGTCACCTTACTACCATTATCCAATAAGGTATGCATTAGGTAACAACATTGAAATGATCCGGGTGATATTGAATGTACACACAAACAATTGGTTCCATGTTTAACATATAATTTCATTAAGCGGACTGAAGTTGCAGTCGTCTTTCGATAAATGCCATAGATAGTACTTCTACATTAACGGCAACCGCAACACTGGCATCCTCTGGGCATATCACAATGTTCTTATCCTATCCATCGACCAAGTTTTGCGAAATTTACAAACAGTATAGAGTTGCAATTGTAAGCGAGGAGGCATATATCAATAACAAAGTAGGTATAGTGGCCTCGTTATAGATAATTTGATTCTGCAGATTGCATAGTAAAGATAGGTTCAAGTTCATTCCGGTCTGACACCACCACTACCTTTCTCAGTGTTGGGAAAAGCGGGAATATATTTCACACTGCATTTTTCGGGGGTATGGGGGAGGCTCGACCAAAAATCAAATGTTTGGGCCTTACGGACCCGCGTGTAATAGAAAAGAAAAAAAAAGGTTGAACGAGACTGTAAGTTCGAGGTGGTATGTCGGAAAGGCTGTGAAAGATGTAGTACTCATATGAATACTATGAATAATGTATTTGCCCACTATTTGAGCTAATTTCAACTTTGTCTTACTTGTTGTTGTTGTTTTTCTTGTTTTGTTTTGTTTTATTACCCTACCAACGAGGTAGGGCGCCATCCAAGGGCTGCTGACACTAAGTCACGAAAGGGACACTCACAGTTGTGGTGATGATGATGTATCGAACCGCTGTTCTGGGTATAGCATGTAGTTTTTTTTTTTTTTCTATCTTTCACCTTACAACGCCCCATGGGCTACTGACACTAAGTGGCGAAAAGGACACTCACTCTACAACGGATGGTGATGTATCAACCTGCTTTCCTTGGTATAGTAAGTAGTTTCATTTTTTTATCTTTCACATGACAACGTCGTTCTAACGCCCTCACTTAGATGAGGATGAAATCTCACACAGATAAGAGAACAGTGCAAGAGTGTCGTCACACTAAAGTGAGCAACAACGTAAGAGTATTGTCACACTAAAGTGAGCAACAACGTAGATAACTCAGTGAAGCAAATCTTTCATAACAATCCACAATCCCAAGAACCGCCAATCGTACCACAGTCCCTAAGGCTTTGACGGTTGTCGTAAACGACAGCAGTCGTTGCTATTTCCACCTGAAAGAGGTTGTTACCACTAAACATCTACGTATATATAGGAGCGAGGCGCTACCTCCATACGGTATAGACCAAAACAAATGAAAAACGTGGTACAAACAAGAACCAGAGGGTTCAAAGTAGGTACCAGCACTAACCAAAGGTACCGAACTATAGGGCCTTGTACTGCAACTACCAAAAGCAGGACCAATCCTAGACAAAGGCAAAACCAAAACCAAACGATACATCCGGGTCTGATCCGGATAAAGATCGTACCGAAAATGACCGGGTCAACGGTCCCGAAAATCTCCCTGTTAGAGTAAAAAAAACATCGTATCAAAGGTACAATCACAAAACTAAAGTCCCAAGTCCTAACACAAGACCCTGTCAAAATCCAAAGGCCTAAGACAAATATCGAACTACCAGCTGCCAGACGTCACCCCGTCTTAATGCAAAACGTTTTAGAACGTGCATGAAGAAGTCCTTGGGGAAGTCCTTAAGAGCCATTTCAAGTTGTAAGGTCAAAACTCTGTCTGGGATCTCAGAACGAATAGAGGTGTTTCTGTCAATCCTGTGTAGGTAACTTCTGATAATGACACTCTTTTGTCTTTTGCATCCCCATGAATGAAAAGATTTCCCGTTCTGAATTTTCAACTTATCGGATACCCACACACAGTCTTCATTATTGGACAGTTGTACACAACCAAGGTAAGGATACGATTGCGAGGTTCACACTTCACAACCCAAAAACTCAAAAGTTCTCGATCCATCATCAGTCCGCTTCAGTTGCAGGTTCTCAGGGTAACAGCTTTGGAACAACTTCAGAATCCAATCACGAATACCTACATCCCGATATGATACTGCCAACATTACATCATCAATCAGTCGTGTAACAAAAACCAATCTGGCTGATCTGTCCAGGGTACTGATGAAACTGTACTCAGAATAGGTACACATGATACAAGCAAGGGGAGGACTAGTACTTTTACCCATCGATATCCCCAATTCCTGGTTCAAGATCACACTTGTAGCGAAAAAATACGTATGGGAAATATCGATAAACAAAAAGTTCCGAATATCAACAAGGTCCAATTTCCGCCAGTGATCACTGCCAGTGGATTCCCCAAAGCTTACCCCCTTTCCTTTTGTGTTAGCTCTTACAAAGGTACGATTTCTTGCCAGATGATAGGACAAAAGTCAATCTATGGCATTGAAGATCGCCGTATGAGGCAATTTGCTACATTTATTTGATATCAAAGGATTGCGTTTCAATCATTTGGCCAGAACCTAGACGATAGAAACGTTCATTCGCCTCACGCAACCGATTGGCCAGATCAGAGACCGATCTCAGATTGAAATGCCAATTTTTTGGCAACCTCATTAGCAGAAAGTTCAAACACTTAGCAACAATTCTCCCAGTTTTAACCATAGGTTCATTGAAGGAAGGACAAACCGGTCGATATCTGCTTAAGTCATTTTGCTTAGGGATGACATAAGTAGATCCAAACCCACCGTTCCTATCCCATTTGACAAACTTCTGCAGACCTCCAGCTGTCATGTCCTCACGAATTTCACGAAGGAGAATCCCTTTCGATGCTCGCATTACCCGGTACCCATTATTAAACACAAACGTCGTTAGCATAGCTTCGTGGTAAACAACCGGACACATCACAACTGACTTACCCGGGTTACGATCAATCCCAGTAATTACCAACCCCTCCGAACGGTTCTTCAAATCGAGCACATCAGTCATCGCCAGAGAATTGTCAGAGCAAGAGGACCTCACAAAGCAAGATTGAAGTGCGTCAAACAGCACCGGGGGTGCCCTGTTTTTACAGTTATGCCAACCTTCAAAACCCCGAATCAATTCTTCACGAAGAGACGACAGTTGGTCACTAATAGCTCCTCGCGGTATGTTATTCGCATTCGATAGAAGAGGGTGAATCCTCTCCATCTCACTGAGGCGGAAGAAGACGTGCCCTTCCAAACGAAGGGAAGGAAAAGTCTGCGCAATTGCAGACCAACACAACACATCGCGAGCAGCAAAGCTACGCTGATTGTGCAGAATATCAGATACCGAAGGGTTCTTAACCCAAACGATACGAATCTTCTTCCTTGCTCTACTAAAAAAACAATATGGCAAATCACATAACATGAGCAAATCGTTGGCAACCTTCCTAAGTTCCGAAATACGAATACGATCATCAAACTTTATGCGAAAAATCAAGTCAGCACAAAGGCTCAAATCGAAACGTTCACGAGAACATCGAAAGATCAAGCGATGTAAGTACTTTCTCGTAGATTTACAAGAAAAGTCCTTTACAACATTATATATACGCAAGATAGAACGCATACTCCATCGATACAATTCATGCAGATTACGCGGGTTCTTCAAGATCCCGATCAAAACCTGCTTCAGGTAGCTACATCGTGGTTTCCATTTGCACACAAACACAATTTCAAAAATACCACCAGCCTCAATAGCAGATTTACTTTCCCTCAAACGGAGAATACGATCTTCACATCGTAATTTCGTCTCGCCAAAAGCACGGATAAGTTTCTTCCAAGATGGGCACTAGATATTCCCTCCTTCAGAACGAAAACCAATTTTTGTGTTTCTGTTAGATAAAGTTTCGTCCAAAATTCTATAAAAATCAACTTTCCAACTGCTGGACAAAGATCTCAGACGGCGAATTGGTTTTACGTCTACACAACCAATGGAAACCTTTCTCTCCTTGCCACGCTCGTGTTTTCCCGGCTTACACTTTCTGCCTGACTTCGGTGCACTCTTACAACCTGAGGTGTTTAAGAAAGGGGACCATTGATTAATATATACAGCTTCCAATTTAGGCAAATCTGAACCGACCAACACATCAACTGGGATCAAGACATAGTTACCAATACCGAAAGAGCTTAACCAACAATGGAAATGAGATTGGTTACGAGTCCTACACTTATATATGTGTTCGCGCCAACGGATGTTAACATCACGAGTAGATTGACCAACATAAAAAGATTTACAAAATGGAGAGATCGCTATATAAACGTAGTTCGTCAATCCCAAGAAACCCAAACCATGTCGATTATAGAGTTGAACCCATGTGGGTACAAACTTAGCACCCCATCGGATCTCATTATCCGAAACTAGCAACAAGACGACAATACGAAGTAGTCGCTCAATCTTACGGTTAACGGAGAATGATTGACAACGCAAACGAGTCAAAAACTTACAAAGTCGCCATAACTGTGACACACTGAAGTCACATCACTCCAACACTTCATCTTGTTGAACCGTACCGGCATCCGATTCGAGCGCAATCACATCGGCTTTCACAGGAGATCCATCTCCGAGGGTAAGTTGTGCCCTGTGTTCGGCAATATAAAAAATGACATCGATTTTTTTGTCGTAATGGATGCCTTCTTCCTTACAGATCTTCTGCAACTCTGGAGCTTCAAGGTCCTTGAGCTCCTTCATAACAACATCCTTGTATCTCATTCTTGCCAGCGATACCTTTGTTGCAGAGGTCGTTGCCGGCGACGCCTTCTTGATGGCCGACTTCCTATGAGTCAACGGTGTCTTCATCGGAGAAACACGCTTCCTACTTCCGCGGGTCTTCCGACCCACTGGTGTATTCTCTCCCTGGTTCGCCTTCGTACGTGTGAGGCACATACATAACTTCACCGGCTTCACTGTACCACGCATAGGGGTACGTTTAGCCGGCGACTCCATCGGCGGGCTGTCCTCAAAAACAGGTTCAGGACCACGCTTCCTCTTGTCGGTGATACTCAGTTTTCCAGTCTTCTCCTTAATTTTCTGTGTCACGCTCGTGTTGCTTCGTTCCTGACTGTCGCTGGATGACGAGTATCCCTCGGATATATACTCCATCTTTTGCTTCCCTTTCTCTTGCTGCGGTGGAAAACAAGCTGGTAATACCGTTTGCTTAATTTCAGCGATGAACTCGTCATTCATCTCATGCAGGTCCATACACATCTCCAACCTCAGGTCCTTCCTCATCTCAGCTCGTTGCTCAGCCTCTTTGCGCAACTTCTCTTTCTTCTTTAACGCCTGCTTCTCACACTTCTTTGCTTCTTCGGCCTCAAACCGCTTCGCCTCGGCTTTCAAGTTCTTCAATTTGCGGCGTGCTTTCTCCTCCTTCCTCCTGGCTTCGATCTCGTATTGCGTCTTTATCACTCCAATACTTTTAGTCAATTTCGCAATCTGGAAATGCACACCAGAATCTCTCGGTGATGAGTGATGACACCTACTATGATAGCGTCGTGGAGTTCGAGAACGTTGCGAGCCGCTGGATGTCGACGGTCTTGACGAGTAACTCCTCCGGCCCCTGTTGGGGCATTGATTTGCATAATGGCCCACCTCGTTGCAATTGAAACAAGTAGGTGCCCGATGCTGTCTCCATTCGGTGTGATCACCAGCACCTTGATCACTTTCACGACCATGTGCGTTTCTGCCATCACGCTGTTCGGAATTCGGCATCTTCAAGAAGAAGTACCCACCAAGCTTCGACCATACAAGTCACCGAGTACAAGTTACCCGAAATCCGGGTAAGCACGCTCACTCTGCCCGACAGAAGACTCCACGTAAGTTCACGTGTGCAGTCCGTAGATTAGGATGAAATCTCACACAGATAAGAGAACAGTGCAAGAGTGTCGTCACACTAAAGTGAGCAACAACGTAAGAGTGTCGTCACACTAAAGTGAGCAACAATGTAGACAACAACGTAGATAACTCAGTGAAACAAATCTTTCATAACAATCCACAATCCCAAGAACCACCAATCGTACCACAGTCCCTAAGGCTTTGACGACTGCCGTAAACGACAACAGTCGTTGCCATTTCCACCTGAAAGAGGTCGTTACCACTAAGCATCTACGTATATATAGGAGCGAAGCGCTACCTCCATACGGTAACCAAAACAAATAAAAAACGTGGTACAAACAAGAACCAGAGGGTTCAAAGTAGGTACCAGCGCTAACCAAAGGTACCGAACTATAGGGCCCTGTACTGCAACTACCAAAAGTAGGACCAATCCTAGATAAAGGCAAAACCAAAACCAAACAATACGTCCGGGTCTGATCCGGATAAAGATCGTACCAAAAATGACCGGGTCAACGGTCCCAAAAATCTCCCTGTCAGAGTCTAAAAAACATTGTATCAAAGGTACAATTACAAAACTAAAGTCCCAAGTCCTCACTGAGGGCACACTCATACAAAACACTCTGTAGATTGAATGTATGTGCTATGAGGTCCAAATACGGTTTTTTTTTTTTTTTTTTTTTTCTTTGATGGATCGCACCCTAACAATATAATGTCCGTCTTTTTTGTTTATGCTACATTCTTCTCTCAACGTTGAGTTTTTTTTTTTTTTTTTTTTCGTGAGAATACCACAAAAAAAACACAGGAGGACCTAGACTCGACATAACTTAGCGTGCAGTGAAAATTAGGGTCGACAAAAACAGGCTCAACGGTAGTGGTGGTCTAATAGGTTTTCTTGAAGTCCTTTGGTTGTATTAATTGTATTGGCTCAACGTGCATTATGAAGAGAGATCATTTTTAGTTAGGGATTCTATTAAATGATCAGATAGTCAATCAATGTCAATTGAAGTGGGAGAGCAATTGAGCCGATGTGGATTAGAAATGGGGGGTTCAAATGCAAGAAGCGGAAGCTGATCAGCCACAAGTGTACTCAAAGTGATTGATGTCATGCAAATGATGTATAGGTCGCTGCACCTCGTGCATGGTGCACACACAGACCTGCAACACTGTAAAAAGCATCACCATATTGTGGACATCTGATTTGGTATGTACTATTTCTTGCGCGTGTGTATTGGGAACGACGACGTCAGTCCATGCGGTTGATAGCATGGCCTCGAAGAAGATCTCTGACCCCTGTCCAGGGCGCGATGATCTCTGCTGGTCATGTACAAATGAGGTTGCCATCTATTAGGTGGTAGTGGAGATGAGGAATTTCTCCGCCAAAACGGCCTCTGTGATGGCCGGTTTGGCCATTAATGCGTTGATGATGAGGACGGTGAGGAAGGAGAGGAGGAGGAGGAGGAGGAGGAGGAGGAGGAGCGGATGACATAGCAATAGTTGGCAGAAGGGTGATGTACAAAGAAGATGTACGTGGTGGTGGTGACACATTTTCAGCAACAACCGCATTTATTAGATCATCCCTCGCATCCACTTCAACAACATATACGTTGTTTGCTACAACTGGCAAGGTTTCCTGCTGAATCAAAAACAACGGCTATTTCGATAATATTAAGAGAGAGTTAAGCCCCAATGCGTGTGCTTGTGCGGAGGACTGATGTTGCCCATGTTCAAAAATTCAAAACTGACATGCGAGAGTGGGTTGGGTCCTACTGCATGTGGTTGTGTGAACGGTTGATGTTGTCTGTATTGAGAATTTACATTTGGTAATGGCTAAGCAGTTAACCAGCGCATAATGCGGCAAACTAGTTCGTAAGCTGAGTGGATATGGGTGGGTCCTCATAGCTGCCAACCACTCACATAAGCAGTCCAACTTATGACCGGGACAATTGGGGGATGGTCTCGAACGAGCATAGGTTGTGTCAATGAATCACTGCAACTTTGAAGTCAATAGTATTATCGAAGCACGTCGACTTTCCCATGAGCACACCTGCAGGTTGACAAGCTGGGGCATTGGAGGAAACACTCGCGTAGCGTATGATAAGGAATGTCCAAGCCTCAACCTTATCGAAAAGGCAAATACGAGGTTTGCCATTTGACCAAACCGAGATTCTTGCCCTAACGAAAATAAATACCTATCTCGGTAAAAAGTGTTTTTCCACTTAAGATCACACCAAAGAGGGGGTGAAAACCTTTTATAAGGATGTCATTAATGGACTGATATGTGAATGTATATGTTTGAGAAGCTTGTAGACCTCACTAACAAAGTTGATCGAGAAATTGTGCCTCGTCCCATAGAGAGTGAGATTGACGGTTTCTCGTTCGACATTAGTGCCTATAGGAATACCAACCACCCAATGACGCAAAGTGTCATCCGTTGCATAAAGATATGTGCTAGCGACGACGAACGGCACATGCTATTCTATATTTGACATCGAGAGAGAAGTGTCGAGAGTCATGTGAAGCAACCCATTCCCTGTGACGAGGACCTCCCATTGTCATGTATGCTCGCACCGGTCACCTATCATGTGGAATTAGTTCCAAGGCATAATCATATGCTTCACGAACAACATTTAGCACATTGTTAAGAATTCAGTCATGCAATAGGCTAAGGTGTCTCGTTGTGACATCTGTCGTATACGTTGGAGAGGCTCGAAGAGAATGTGCATTGTACTTGAGATGCAAAATGACCTCCTCAACACTTTGCACAATCCAGCATTATCGCATGCCACCTTCTTGATGAACCTCATTATGCTTATTGTACAAAGACTTGATCAAGCATGAGAGAGCATAGCAAACCAAATGGGTACACAACTACACAAAACACATGAGTATGCCAGACTGTTTGATTGATGGATAATGACTCACCACATCGTCAAAAGTCAGTGATCCCCCTGAGAAAAAGTGCATGTGTGTGTGTTTCATACGTTTTCATCATAACGACCCTTGTTCCACCCAAACAATGAAGCACAATTGAGACGAGTCAATCTAAAATAACATGGAGCAAAATACATCCATTATATCATTTTCCTTACTGTGTGTGTATATGTGTGGGTTTCCATGTCCTCCACAATAGCGTTGTGGCATGTTAGGTTGGAAGTGAACGGTTGCGAAGCCCAAAACAGACCCTTCAGCCAACATGGAACAAACTAAGTAGAGGAGGCATCCAAAAACCCAACTTTCTAGTGCATTAAGGTAAATACAAGCGAGGGTTATCGACATGAAGCACACGACACACTTTAGCACACTGATTAATACCTTAGGAAAAAACAAACAAAAAAGGAAAAAAATAAATTTTAATGATGATAGATTGTTTCGTTGAACTTGCAAGACTCATCAGGAGGGTGAACCATTGACAGTTTGCAGAATCCTGATACTGATGCATTGAGTCATGAACCCTTCATTCGACTGTGAAAGTGGACAGACTGCAGCACGAGCAATAAAGCAATGACGCAGTGAGGCACAAGGCAATGCTGACAACACATCCAAACTAGAAGGCAAACAGGTATGCCATATGGAAGGACAAAGCAAGGTAAGTAGATGGCCAATTGGACAACAACACAGTGAAGCACATGGCAGCACTACCAAAACAACCATACTACACAACACACAAAGGCGTTGCATTGGAACAACAACACACGCGGATGGGCAACAAGGCAACAGTGCAGCGAAGCACAAACTATATGGTGAACAAAAGTTGTAAGGAAAGACATGAGAAGCACGAAGGATGAGCAGCAAGGCAACGAAAAAATGCAAACACGCCACTCCACATACCCAACATGAACCAAGGCAACGAACAAATCCCTTTCTTTAGGATACCCCTTTGATTTACTCTTGCAGCCCCCCTTTTACTATGCCTCTCACGTACAAGGCTGGTCACGTTGGTTGTGGTTAAACCACTAGTACTTGGCCCAACTACCGATTGAGTCCAAGGCTGCTAGTGAGGCATCGCATGTGAAGGCTGCGACAACATATTGGGCAAGTAATTAGGAGGTGGGAGGGATGAGTACAAAACAAAAGGTCGCAATTTTCGCAGCAGAGGTTGGCAGCGACCATCCCTTCGTAGTGGTCGGAGCACAGACTATATTGTGAGCATGCTAAGTTGCTAACCAAACTACAGCTACGTGCTGACAGAATGGGATGGCACAACCCTTGTCCTCGTGAAAGCCCTCTTCACTCTCTGTGGTAGGTTCCGTCCGATGAACACAAGGAGGGGACGCTGTCTGGCCTTGCACAGCGGAAGGAGGTTTAGGTGGACTGCTGTCCAGAGGCCGCAGAACTTGCGAGTGCATTGAGACATACTGCTGCTCCTGTTCGCCGAGCCAAACCGAGTGACATTCTACCTCCTCCCATTGTGTGCACCCTACCGCCATTGTCCCATACGGTCCATGAATTACCTATAAAGGTAACACAGCACTGAAATGACGTCGTGAACGATGTAGGATGTACACACGAACATTTGGAATTTTGGATCCATGCCTGACATGTGATTCTGTGGAGCAGGCTGGAGTTGTAGTCGTCTGCCCATAAATGCCATAGACAGTACTTCGATGTTCACGCCAGAATACAGCACTGCAGTCCTCTGGGCAGAGATCACGATGCTCTTCTTCTATCCAACGAACAATGTCTGCAAAATCAGAACAGTATACGGATTTATTGGATCCTTCCCCCCCCAACCCGCTATCACTTGTGGAGGTGGAACAACCATAAGATGGTTTTGGCTCCCAGCAGCGGGTTACTCAGGGTAGGCAGAGTAGGAGTGGTAGTGACGGGTCTCTGGGCGAGGGATGGCCCCCGCTGGTTCCCCCCCAGTGGTAAACTCCTTTGCCAGGGATGAAGGGATGCTAGACCCAGTTTTCAGCCGCTGGCCTGTGGCCAAGCCCTGTCCAGTCAATGCCCTGTCGCTCAGGGTAGATAAATGCTGGCAAAAAAAGATGACGGTGCAAAAACGAACCACAGAAAAAAAGAGGACAGTGCAGAGGATAGGAGTGTTTTTTGGTGCGGGCAGGGAGACGGAAGGAGCCCCCACTGGTGGCCCCCCCCCAGTGGCTTCGACCGGTATCCGGGCCAAGCCAAGGGTTGGAAAGGTGGACGGGCTGCTAGCTTTCTGAGTAGTACACTCCTGTTTTTTGGTTCAGCGAGGCATAGGACGCTGGCCCCGGTTTCCAGCACGGTTGGTTTTCTCTGTTTACTTCCTGCTCATGTTTTCCCTCAAATTTCTATGTATTTCATAAGGGACACCGAGCTCAGTTCTCAGCACGTGCTGCTCCCACGAATAGATTGGAGCTTGCGTACACACACACACACACACACACACAMAAAAAAAAAAAAAAAAAAAAAAAAAAGTATAAGAGTTGCAATTGTAGGCGAGGAGGAGACGTACATTGATGGAATAGTACGCACGGCCGCCTCAGTGTAGCACTATGAGACCATCTGATCCTGCAGATTGTGGGGTAGGGGGGGGGGGGTTACATTTAACTCTGCAGCTTGCACGGCAGGCAAAGATTCATTATGGTCTTGACTGTTTCTGTCAGGTTCCTCCGGCTGTATTAATTCCATTGGCTCTCGCATGCGCTCCGAAGAGACATCATCTTCAGTCGGGGGCTCCATCAAGTCATCATGAGGTGGATCACTGTTAATTGGGATAAGGGAGCAAGCAGCGCAGGGTGGATGAGAAATGGGTGGGGTCAAATGCATGAAGTGGAAGCTGGTCAGCCGCACTTGTGCTCAGAGTGGCTGTTGGGTAGCGACCGAAAATTGGTGTACGGAATTAGGCTCATGGACGATGTCTCCCTGTTCTTGGTTTACCAGCACGGGAAGCCGCACTCAATTGGGAAAGTGAACAGGATTCGAAAAAAGTTTGAAAGATGCTATCCAAAAGCACTGTCACTGAAACGAACCGACGAGAGGACCGGGACCTGGGACTTCCTCGGCTGCAAAATGGAAGTCAGGTCACGTTTTCCATACCTGGGCAGTATACAACGGACAAAGAATAAAGGGACCATATGGTCCACCCACGACATCCTTTTCAGGACGGGGCAGGATTTTCACTCATGGTCGAGTCGGAAGCAGAAATTGGCCTCGATCACAGGGTGGCTGCATCGAATCGACAAAAACACCTCGGTACGGACAAGCATCCCGAAACAGGTTCTGACCCTGAGACTGGAGTACCGGGCAAAAAGATTTTCGGACACCTTTTTTGGGACAGCGCACCGAAATTTTGCTCGGATGCGGGATGAGATGTGGCAGTTCACAGCGGAGTTACTAGAGGTTAGATAGGTATCTAGACTATTAATAGCATTTCTTTTGCTGTTCTCGTCCTCTTTTCACGGCATGGCGACGGGGGTTACCCCGGAATGGGTTGGAGGAATGTGGTGCATAGTCTGGGGAAGAAGCCGAGGCAGGGAGATTGTAGTGATTCTCGAGTCTGTTTCTGCGGAACTCTGGGGTCTTTGCTACTGTTCTCAATACATGTTGTGTCGAGTTACATTTGGACTACGATCATTGGTCGTGTGTGTATCGATCTCTGATTGCTTGTGTATGTTATCTCACCCCTGGCTGTTCGTTGTGCAAATGCTGCACCGGTGGCAGCACCCTATGTCTGGTGCACATGCAGGTCTGCAGTGCTAAGAAATCATCGCCACATTGTGGGCATCAGACTCGATATGTACTATTTGTGGCTAGTGCATATTGAGAGCGACGATGCCGTTCCGTATGATTGAGAGCATAGCGTCAGAGAAGATCTCTAACCCCTGGATAGGGCGCGGTGATCATGCTGTCGAAGGACAGATGAGGCCGCTGTCTTGGAGATGGCGGTGAAGAAGCAGAACGTCTTTGCCAAAGAGACATCTGTGATGGCCGGCCTGACCGTGGATGCCTCCTCCAATGGGCCTTTTGTGCGGCTGATCTGACCATGAATGTGTGATGATGAGGTTGATAACAAAGGGGAGGCGTGCAAGGTGGAGGATGAGCAGGAGGAGGAGGAGCAAGAGGCAGGAGAGGAGGACAACGGGGACAAAGAGGCAGATGACTGGTGATGGTGATGGTGATGGTGGTGGTGATGATGGTGGTTGGTGGTGCCAGTGATGGCAGTGGTCGTGGTGGTGGTAGTGGTTTAGGGGGGGGATGATGGCGGAGGAGGAGGTGTTGGTGTTGGTGCTGGTGGTGGTCGCGGCGGCGGCCGTGGCGGTGCAGAAAATACATTTTCTGCAGCAATCATTGCACTGGTAGGATGCAGGCCTTCATCTCCCGCAGCCACTTTGACAGCGTCTATATTGTTTGTTGAGGCTAGCCTGGTCTCCAGTTGAGTTGGCATATCCACATTACCATCTGCCATTTCAGTAGGGAAAACAGGAGAGGGTGGGCCCGCTGCATTTGACTGTGTGTGGAGGGCTGATGCTGCATGCGGTCGAAATTCATGTTCGCGAGTGGGTGGTGGCCTATTGTGTGAGGTTGTGTGGAGGACCTGTGCGCAGAACTAGCATTTGGCAGTGGGTGAGCAATGGCCCAGCGCACCATGCAGCGAAACCAATTTGAGAGCCGTGTGACATGAGTGGTGGGTAGGGTAGCCGTCCCTGCCGGGCACGCACATATGCAGTCCAGCCTCTGGTTAGGACACTGGGAGGATGGCCCCTAACAAGCATATATACATCATGCCACGGAAGTCACTGCAGCTTTGAAGTCAGCAGTATTGTTATATATACGTTGGAACCTCGTTAACTGTCCCATAAGCGCACACCTGCCGGCTGATGAGCTGGGGCATTGGAGGAAGCACTGGGAATGTCCAAGCCTCAGCCTTGTCAAGCACACCAATGCGAAGTGAGCCGTCTGATCGAACCAGGATTCTTGCGATCAAGCATGCTCATGTGCCCATGCATTTGTGCTCGAAATGACTTGGAAAACAAAAACAAAAACAAAACATCAAATATCAGAAAAGAGTAAAAACAAAAGACAGAAGGAAACTCGCAAAGTTTTCATTCGGGGCCTGTTTTTCGCAAACCTTGTGCTGCCCTCTCGTCTGTACGTTGGTTTGACAGCTGGCCGGGTACCGGTACCTGACTCCTTTTTTTCCAAGGCTGGTACCAGTGAGTTACAGACTCAGACAATTGTTTTCCTTTGTTCATACCAATGAAGGCTCGCGCCATCGCTGAATCCGACTGATCTTCTATTTCCCACTGCGGATCCGGGAAACCCAGAGGCAGATTCATACAAAGCCAAAAAAGAACCCAGGTGGTGGGTGTAGGGATGGAACCTGTCCTTTGCCCATCCGTTTCTTCAACTCCTTCCACTACTCCATCTCCTTTGCCTCCTTTCTCCATAATCTTTTTCTAGATACCACAGGGAGGTGAAAATCGCCGCTGGGCGTTTTTTTCTGACCCAGAAAAGGCGAGCCAGAGCAGGGAGACAGGTTCCTTGACAGGGCGTTCATGATGATCAACAGAAAAAGCGAGCGCGGTTCTTTGGCAGCACTGCTGACATGCACAAAGCCAAAGAAATGTCTGTGCATCTGCGCAGTAGTTGCGAAAGACAAAGTTAGGTGGAAAACACAGACAGAAGGAGAAGAAAAGGGGACGGCGTACACAACGGACTTCGACCGGAAACACTGATGCCCACAGCCAGCCAAAGAAATGTCATGTATTTACACAGCAGGAGAGGAACAGGTACAAGGAAGAGGCACACGAAAAAAAAAAAAAAAAAAAAAAAAAAAGAAGAAGAAGAAGAAGAAGAAGAAGAAAGAAAAAGAAAGTGAAAAAAAAATCACCATGGTAAATATGATGGTTTGGTAAAAGGTCAAAATTGCACGACAACGATCCAGCTGGAAGCCGGAACGAGCGCTGTCACAAACAAAACCGGACTCGGAACTGTGGCTAAGTAAGATACACAGACTTTCGGATAGATAGCGGGGTGGAGTATGTGTGCCTAGTAAATGACAGCCAGGCCCTTGACCTCTTCGACAAGCTCCTTGTATTCACTCTGCAGCTTTGCTGCATCTTCTTCGCTAACTTCTGCCTTCCCGCCTGACGGCATGACAAGAACACAGCACGTAGGCCGCTTGCTCTGCCCTGCTGCGCCGAGGTCCTCTTTCGAAGGGACGAAAACGTACGGAATATCCGATTCTTCGCAAAGAACAGGAAGATGCGATATCACATCGATAGGCGAGATGTTGCCAGCAACGATACAAACTCCTTTCGCTCCTTTCCGGAGAGCCTTGACGACTTCCTTCACTCCTCGTTTCAGTTGCTTGCTCTTCGACGCGCGTTTCACCAGCTTCAGCGCCTTCTTCGTGAGCTTCTTCCCTGCCAGCGGCTTTGCGATGGGCGATATCGACTGCCATTTCAGCTTCTCCTTTCTCTCTGTCTCTGAATCGCTCCCCATCTGAATCTGATACGAACTTCTTCCGTGCAACACTAACGAACGTAGTGACACAGGCAGGCGCACTCGGTTGCTCAAGTCTTCCTCCCTGTCCTCTCGTCCTTTTGTGACTATGACCTCTCTTTACTAGATAGAGACAAACGAACCAGTCCACCTAACCTCCCAGCAACAAACAGCTAAACCATTCCGATGCCAGGCACTTCTAACAACCTCTGGTGCAAGACTAACCGAACAGCTAGCTCCCCCCACCCCCTTCTTGTCATGAACTTGAAAACTTTCGCAGGACTACACAATCAAAATTTCCTGCACTCTTTCCACCACCCACCAAATCATGCTTGGCATATAAATCTCATAATAAAGAAAAAGTGGGATCCCAACCTCCTTGTTCACAAAGTGTTACGCCTGTCTCCGATTAACCATTTCAGACCGCACTGATCCGCACTGATCACTTTCCTGCAGTACACAAGATGCCACCTGCACACACAGACACACACATCCATCCTCGTTAAAAGCAACACAAGCATGGGCACACACACACACACACACACACACACACACACACACACACACACACAATCACACTACACAGAGGCAGGCATGTGCACCCACATTAACACACGTTGATCCCGGTTAAAAGCAAATACAAGAGAGTGTGCACACACACACACACACACACACACACACACACACACACACACACACACACACACACACACACACACACACGCACTCACACACATAGATCATGGTCTGTAATCAACCACGCTCATAACACAGACAGGCCAGGTAGCATCTCAGTTGCCAGCGAGGACGACGGGTGCATCACAGGGGGATAAATTCCGGATTCCATCCTTGGCCGCAAAGCGAATGTCCTATTCGTTGTGGCGCACACACACAACGTCTAGAGGTCGGGGAGCTCTACAGACACATGGATACATAAACCATTCCATCGCCACAGTTACCTCACGGCAGAGACGATTAACATCGCCGTCGTTCACGTCTTCTCACAGAAGAAGCCACTGGGATGCTGGCTAACACAGTTCCTGTTTTAGGGTTTAGGGTATCAGAGTGTGCAGGCAAGAGGAGGAGGAAGGAAACAAAATGTATGACAACAAACGATCAAAACATAATAAACTACTACAAAAATAAAATCAAACCGAACAGTGATGGCCTAATGCTGTTTCCGTCATACAGTTTCAGGTAGCCTGGAAGCACAAATCCAAAACCCACCAACGGGCCCTTTCTCAGTTGCTGTATTTGGCACAACTTTCAGCCCAGATACGGCGATAATTACCGGGCGTTCTATTCGGGTGAAGACGGTAGTCAACCTTACCCACCCATCTAATCTACCTTATCCTCCTTGCATCTGATGCTCATGACTCTCAACCATAGCCATAGCCACCTGAGCCCATGTCGGGATCCTTATCCTCCTCTAGGTCGGGATCCTTATCCTCCTCTATGTCGGGATCCTTATCCTCCTCTAGGTCGGGATCCTTATCCTCCTCTAGGTCGGGATCCTTATCCTCCTCTAGGTCGGGATCCTTATTCTCCTCTACGTCGGGATCCTTGTCCTTCTCTATGTTGAGATCCTTGTCCTTCTCTATGTCGGGATCCTTGTCGTCCTCTATGTCGGGACCCTTATCCTCCTCGATGTCTGGATTCTTGTCCGCCAAGGGAAGATTCTACCTAACCAACCCCACCAATATTCGTTGACGTTGAAGACAATACCCAAGCTCTATCCTCTTGTTTTTTTCTACTCCTCTTTGGATAAGCCACATACCAGAACAACAAAGAACAATCGGACACACAACCCTTAAACCCTAACCTAAAAAAACCCTTTTTCAGGGGTAAAACTCACTTTCAGCATGCTAATGAAAGAAAAAAATAATAAAAATTCACGATGTGGTAGGCTTCAACGCCCCGACAACTACATACAGCTGGCATGTACACCAAGGAAACCCTTCCCCGTGATCAACGCCCAAGGACCTTCATCCAACAAAAAAAAACTGAGGCGAGATCCTTCCCCGCTATATATCATCAAACAGAGGATCTGCCTACGGTAAACCGTAGGGGCAGAGAGGAGAGGGAGGGGGAGAAGAGGACAACAAACAAGGGAGGGAGAAGAGGACAACCAACGAGGGAGGGGCTGTGACAAACTGTTTCGTCGTCGGACTTTCACCTACCGACTCATCAGGAGGCAGAGAGGGAGAAGAGGTCAACAAACGAGGGGCTGTGACAAAACTGCATCCAGTCTTCCACACAACAAAATTGGCAGAAAACAAACGGAAAAAAGAGTGAGTCGGGAGGACTGGGACACCGGAAAGACAGAGAATTAAGAGAGAGAGAAGAGAAATGGGGGAACGGTGAGAAGAAAAACGGCAAAGAACTGGGGGAAAGGCAATAAAAGAGGTGAGATAACCAAGAAGACGATGAGAAGGGGAAAGAGAAGCAACAACGACAAAAAAAGAGAGAAGAGAAAGGCGAGCGGGAAGAGGGGACAGAGGGGAAAGAGAGAAGAGACGGGAGACCGAACACAGGGGAGACAGGGAAGAGAGGGACAAAGGGGAGAGGGAGAGAGGGAGAGAGGGAGAGAGGGAGAGAGGG